TCTAACAAATGTTAAGCTCTAGCTGCTTCACTTGTCACTAATTCAGGTTTATCTGTTAAAATGTATACGCTTTTTTTCTTAGGCTTACAATTCAACTTAAAATCACTAATAAAGATGTATTTATGTATCACAGGGTCATGTGTAAATTGTGCTGTATTCATTCTGCATTGTAACCAATAGGTGATATATTAGGTGCATTTGTAGAAGAAAAATACGTGTAGAAATTAATTTTAATTAGTGCTCAATTGTAAACCTCCTTGTTTTGCCACACTGAATGGGAGGTTGCATTTCACAAAGTATGAATTACACTGCAATGTCCCCTGCTTTGAATCTGTTTTCATTGTTATATTGATTGCTTCCTACAAAAAAAAGACTTGCATGTTTTTATCATACTTTTGAGATTTAAATCAAACTGAGCAGCCTTTTTGCCTTCACACAGCGGGTCAACAACTTCACAAGGCTAAAACAGGGCAAAAAGTGATCCAGGAGATTTATTGCTCTTCATTTGTGAAGGCTCTGATAGTAGCTGTTTGTTCTGATGGTGTAAATTGTCTTCATAATTGCTTCACACACCCCCCATACAAATGTCTTGCAAGAAGGAAATAAAACTGTTCTTGTTTTTGAGCTCAATTTGGTTTTAAACTCATTGTCTGTGAATCCCAGGAGGAACTATACCATGTTGTGTATAAGTACGTAGCTTGAAGACAAATACAAATTATACGTAGACATATGGTATGGCTAATTCACTTATAGTTTGGAGGGAAGCAGGGACCTCAAGCTGGGCATGGGTCTTCTACCAAAAAAGACACATGTTCAGAAATATTTTTTTTTCCCCGCTGCCATGGGTATTCAGTGCATACTATTTTGAAGAGCTGTAGCCCATGGAATTGCAAGATGTTGCTCTGTAGATGCTGGTAGCCATCAGTTTTGTGGATCCTTCTGTGTTATTTTCTGTCATTGTAAAACGCTCCTCTGATGTGGTAGAGTAGTATTTCTCATCCACTGCTGCAGCTGCAGACTTATGGCTCATGTTGCCCTTATTTAACCAGCAGAGGCCACTCACTGCATGTTGCACAATAGACTATAAACAGCAAGTGAGCTACAGACTATGGGGGGAGGGGGGTTGTAAAGGAGATTCAATTTCATCTGGAAAATTAAATTTTAAATAACTGATGAGTAATGTGAAGGGAAAATTTAATCTGCTTTGTTAACCGTTTTCAGCATAAAGACCCAAAGAGTGAAAGGGATTAGAATAAAATGGTTTTATAAGAATCTAGTTAACAAACGTTTTTTTCTGTTCAACTGCTGTTTTAAATGCTGTACATCTCTAATACATGTCGTCAACAAGATTTTTTTTTTTGCCTGTCTTTGTATAGGTCTTTGCTTCCTGCACAAACAACTCAGAATTCAAAATAAAGTATTGTTAGCTTATTAGCAATTTATAGTTCCCCATCTCTCGCAGTCTTCCGCAACGGAGATGGAAAAAGAAATTCATCTATCATGTAGTCGTAAAAGCAGATAAATGATTTATCCATGAAAAAATATTAACTGGAGTCTGGACAATTGATCGGTTGATGATAAATGTGAAGTGTGTGGATTATAGGAAAGAGCCAAAAGGCCTTCATAGTAAATACAGACATCAGCCTCATGGATCAGTGGTATGAGAGAGTTTTGTTGTTTAATTGAGTACATTCTAAGTTTGATTTTAACAAAGCATAGTTTTGTTTTGTTCTTATTGGTATTTTCATAGGACCAATCTTATAGAGTACATAAGTCTCCAATAAAAGAAAATAGAATACAGTGTTTATTGAGCAAATACACTCATTTGATTTAGCAGACAAAAAGTAGCACCATTCTAGATGTAGCTCTAGAGGTATTTTTGGCGAAAGAATGTAAAAGCACCTTTGGAACATTTTTCTCTATAGTATGTAGGTTTTTTTTTAAAAAAGAGACAGTTCTGCATTTGTGAATCCAAAATATTTTTCTGTGCTTCGGACCATCTGTATAAAACATTTTTCTGAGCTATTGTTAATTAGTAAAATCCCTGAAATTTAGGATTCAAAGGCCTTGTGAAACGTATTGATGAAGCAGTTTGTAACAAAAGTATATTAAATTTCTGTTAATATTTTGGAATATTTTAGAATTGTTTAAATAATCGTGCATTAATACAAATTAAACTGAACTCTTGTACTGAACAAAAAAGTCAGTCTAAAGAACTACAAGAAAAGGCACTGCTGTTCCTTTTGCTATTTAAGCCTTTTTTAAGCATTCTATCATTTTGAAAACCAGTATATCGCTTTCACTTATTTATAACACCTAGAAAAGCTGTTTAAGGTTTACATCAGTTTGTAGTACAACTAAATTGACAATAAAAGGTCAGTCTCAACTTGTTCTATTTTATGTCATACAAATATGCTGACAGGGAAAGACTTTTTAGATATTTTGAAGGGAAGAGCAAAACATTGTGAGGAAGTATTGTTTGCAGAGTGTAAGAACCTATTGGTGACATGAGTTGACAATTAAGTGGACTGCACTATGCCTTGAAAATATTGTTGGTAGATTTGTGATATCTGTGAAGACACACAGTGTGGAGCTTTGCGTGGCAGGGATGTGGGCTTTAACAAAAGTGTTCTTCTTTTTAAGCCTAACATTTTTTGGATTGAATACACCAAGGTGGAGGAAATGAAGTAATAAAAAGATGTCTGGCATGCATCCTTTGAACTGCATTCAGGTTAAGTGTTGGAATCTCTGAAATGAAGTTTGTTTTTCAAATATTTACAAGGCTTTGAAATTAGAGAAAAAAAAGTGCTGTAATTAAGATGTATGTGCTCTCTCCAGTTTTATGGTTTCTCATTTTGCACGCTTTGTCTAATTGCCGTATAAGTAAAGAAATATCATAGTGATGGACGCCTGTAATTGTGAAGGGAATAAACATAATCAGTCTTGCTGAACCCCACGCTATATGAACTGCTTCACATTCTCCAGCACTGCACCTTTGGTTTATATGAATTGTTCAGATTACAATTTTACTTCAGCGATTGACTTCAGAAGATTTGTAAAATGTGATAACTCCTGAAATTCCATCAAGGTTATTGTTCAGTTAATGCAATATTTAAAATGAAATATTGTTAAATTATTTTTGCTGTATATTTAAAAGAAGCCTATTCATTAATGATATTTTAATTTAGCTTATGTGCTAGTTATACCACTTTTGCTTTTTTTGTACACTAATTTAGATATTTAATTATATTGTTCTAATTAACTTTAAAATGCAAGGCACGATAATGTTAAAACTCATGCAGTTTGTCTTTATGTGACACTTTTGTATTGCACAGTATTTATGTTTGTAAAGATTTTAAAGTTCTTCACATTCTCTTCTTCACATTTAACATTTTAATGTTAAATCCTGAAATAGATTATAAAAGTAATGATTATAGTAGGTAGACCTCAAATGTTAATTGCAAAACCAAAGAGCCACACTGTCTGTGGTAACGAAAAAGGATAGCTGAAGTTCAGGGAGAATGCACAGCTTGTCTTTCTGTACTTTTTTTTACATTTATTGTTTTCGTATTACATAGACTTGCTTTTTTTATCATCAACTCTGTATTGATTTTCACACCTTTGTTATCCCACTGTATGCAATTCACACTGTTGGCCTACACAGAATTCAAACACTTTTATTGTTTTTACAAATACAGCTGCAGGTAAAGAACCAATTTTACCATTGAAAATAGCTTCTGCTTCTGTCAACATCATGTTTATTTCTGCAACCGATAAAAAGTCCAGTTTTCTGATATTTGTACCGAGATAAGTCAGTAAACAAGATTAATATGGTGTGGAAAGGGCTGTCGGCAGCCTAGGCGAAAGGAAATAAGTCGCCAGCAAACACAGAATACTGTAAACTGAATAAAACTGTCAGCTTCACCAAGAGATAATGTGATCATGAACCCATGTAACGCAGCATGACATAGGCACAGTCTGTCTTTCTAACCACCTCGCTGTAGAGAATGGATTACTGTATTCCATGGATGCAGTGCAATACTATTAAAACCCTTCTACTGCGATCAGCATAAGATTAAGGTCTACAGCAAGATGTAAGAGGAAACTTTTGTAGGACAGAAACTATGGAAGTGTTATATGTTCAAGTACACTTTTACAGATTTAAAGTAATTGAAGCTACTTTGGTTTTATTTCCTAAACAATAATATAGTGAGGATGTTATTTTAGTGTATGGATTTTAGTTGCAAATCAAATGTTGTTTTCTATATACATGCATCTTACGGTATTCATTCTGCTTGCAAATAATTAACCTTACTTGAAAATATTTTGTTGCTCAAAAAGCATTTCAGTGCACTATGCAGTTTTTCACAAATAGAAAATGTATTGATAATATTTTCACATAAAAGCAGAAAGTGTCTCTAAATACAAAGTCTTTATAGCATCTTAAGAATCTTAAATCATGTTCAGAATATTCATAGAATCTGACAGACAAACAGTAGTTAGGAATGTCATAGCTTTGGGTTATGTAGACTGGATTTTGGGATCTTTTTTATAAGAAAAAAATCCCTGGTTTTTGGCAGTGGTAGTCACCTTCTTTTTTTTTTAAAGGTCTATATAAATTGATTCTGTGGCATTGTAATGTGTTGAATAAAATGCAGAATAAGGCTTGTTTTTTGCCCTGCATTAAAAAAATACATGGAAATGGGTAATCTTATGTAATTTTAGCATTATACTTTATATGATTCTTGAGTTGCATCTTATGGAATGTGAAAGAGTCTATAATCAGCCTAGGGGGTCTGAAAGTGTCAGCTCCTGTATCCTTTCTGCCAGTGTATTTGTGCTGCCTATAGTGAACATCCTCATATCCAGAGTATCTATATATTCACCTCGGTAGGTGGGATATAGCCTCCCTACGGAAAACCACACTGTATCTTTCCTTCTGACAGCTGTGCATACATCATGCTCCCCTTTCAGTGATTTGTTTTCTTTTTTTCCCCCAGATTAGCACTCCTGGGCCAGGCTGTAATGAGAGACTGGCTCGGTTCTCCCAGGATCCCCATCATCACGAGTGAGTATCATTTACATCAATGATCCCCCATCATTACCACTGCTCGGCCTTATTTATTATTGCCTACTCCTGGGCTGTGATTTCCCAAGGAGCCAGGAAGGTTCTTCTGCGCATTACAGCAACAAGGGGGACAGTTCCCACAGATATATTTTCTATATAGATATTATTTTTATTTGATTTGGCTTATACTTTTTTCCCCAAAGTGACTTACATTTATACAGTTGGACATTTTACTGTACCAATCTGCGTGACATACCATACTCAAAGGTAAAACAGCCTTTTGTTGTGTTTCCACCTGAAATTTAAACCAACAGGCTTCTAGCTGCAACTCCAGAGCCTTAACCACTAATCCACACTGCTGTCTAGACAGACTGGTAGGTACTGGCCTTAAGGTATAAATGGGTGTTGCCAAAAACGTCACGGCCCACTTTGAATATTTGTTAATTTCCAGGTTTTTGTTGCAGAATTCCACATTTTCACTACAGATGGCCCCGCAACAATCTGTCATTAAATACATTTTGACTAAAGAAAAAAAGTAGGGCATTACTTTCTGGATAGTCCTCATAGGTAGAAAGTTAGAATATCAAAGTTACTGTGTAACAGAAGCTTTGAAATAGGAACACTGAAATGATTACTGATATAACCTATATCCTATTAAATATAACCTATTAAGTTATATTACTTCAGAATACTTTGCAAATGCTGAGCACAATAAATGAAAAAAATGTTACGTGGAAAAATGTATTTTTAACTTCATAATATATGTGTATATTTACTTATTAATTATCACATATTGACCATTAGCTTTGATCTAAAACATCTTTTTTTCTCTCAGAGCAATGAGGTATGCACAAAATAGTTCTGCACTACACTTTAAGCTCATTGCTTTCACACTAAATAAAAAGAACCCAAACACATTTGCCACAAGTATAAAAGAACTTGTAGTCTTTGTCAAAATCCTAAGAAGTTCCATAATTCAGAACTGTGTATTGCACTACAAGCATGTTTGCAATGGCCAGCAAAACATATGCAGAGACATGTGCATCTTCACAAGGTAATGATGGAAGGACAAGGCTACAAAATAATAACAACAAGCTGAAAAAAAAATCTTCTGAATACCTGTATGTTATAATCCAAAGGGTGGTCGTCCAGCAAAAAAGAAAACTCTAGAACAGTTCTCTTTTCTCCTACTCTTGAAAGGCTACAATTTTTCAAGCTTCTTTGAGGATCTCAGTCTATTCAGCAATGATAATTTACACCAGTTAAGTCAGTTATCACTTTAATTCATTCAGTAACAACTTGGAGAGAGTTCACACTAAATGAAAATGAGACGACCGTGTGGCTTTTTAGAATCAGCACTGAGGACCAGTGTTCTGGGTGTTGATCAATAAGAGGATCAGTGTGTTTGCTTAATACAAAATTGAAAAAAGATCTATATTATTGAGTTGTTTTGTGGTCTAGTGGTTGAACAATGTGTCAAAACAGATTTGTTTCTAACCAGTTTGCTTGAATATAAAGCTATGAGACGCCCCCATTAGATGGGAAGAGCCAACATGGACAAAATACCAACACTCCAAAGGACTAAAAAAAAGAGTCAAATCACCAATGTTAGAGTAGATACTTTTACATATCAAGTGGTAAGGCAGATTAACCAACATCAGTTTTCTCTGATGTTGTAGGCACTGCAAGTATCAAAGCTACGATCATCCATTATTACCTCCATTGGGTTTGTCAAGTCATCCAGATGTCCTACTCTTGGCTTCCAAAGAAGCTTCTCTTTTTCCATCTCACCCAAGGCAATCACCCCAAAGGAGAAGAAGTATTTCAAATGTATAGTAAAAGCAAACTTGACGAAATAAAATATCATTGTCAGCGCTTTGGAAATTGAAACCCCAAGATATCAAAACGAGGAAGCAAAGCAAAATCATCTAACATGGCTCATCATGAAAGGATTTTGTAGCCACTAGCTGATATATCCTAAGACAACACCAGCTCAATCTGCCAGGGAACCGTTATTGGCCTTATGAGTCATTTTTGTGTTCATGGAAGACAATCATCCTGCTATTCCAAGGGATAGTGAATGATTATGATTATTTTTTTATTATTTTTTTCCTTGAGATGCCCTCACATAGGAAGATTTACCAAATATACATAATATAAATTATGTGTAAATATAAAGAATGCAATCATTCAAGTACAGTAGGATCTCTACTTCTTTGAATTTAACATTCATGTTTTTTTTGCAATTTCATCCATCTGATTGAGTCTTGGATGGAAGAAGAGCAGTGATTGTTAAGTGCAACTTTCAAATTAGCCAGGCAATACACTTGGATAGTGAGACAAATCTAGCGGGTGAATGAGCCTCTCCCTTCCCCCTTCAAGAGACCCAATACCCTTGATCTGAGTGTGGTCTTGTTTTTGTATTGTAACGAATGCTTACAGTTCTGTATCAGCAGCTTGGGGACTGGAAGGCTGGAGACAGCTTTACAGGCTCACTGACAGTTTTATTAGCCTTGTCTTTACATTGGGGCTTGCTAGTCTTGCCAGCAGCTATATCACCCTGAAACTCACTACTGGCAACCAACTGAAGCTAAGGAGGTGTGTGCCTGGTCAGTACCTGGATGGGAGACCTCTTGGAAAAGCCTGTGTTGCTGCTGGAAGAGGTGTAAGTGGCATCAGTAGGGTGTGCTCACCCTGCGCTCTGTGTGGATCCTAATGCCTTAGTACAGTGATGGGGACACTGTAATTTACAAAAAATGGCACCATCCCATGGATGTGACATAAAACCAAAAAACATAGTGGTGTTAGCCCGATATCCTTCCCAAATTACCCAAGGCTTTACCAGTCAATACTAATAATCCCTTTCTATTAACTGGCTTCATTGCTCTGTTCATCTCTCCACTGGTAGCTGATGTGTGTTGAGTGTACTAGCACACTTTGGCTATAGATGCAATCAAGGTGAGTGCTTCACATTGGTGTTCATGGAGAGGAGACCCCATTATCCGTAAAGCACTTTGAGTGGAGTGTTAAGAGAAGCGCTGTATTAGTGTATGGAATAGTATATTAATAATTACCATCATCATCACAGAGCAGGGATTAGCTGGGAAGACAGAGAGAAAGTGCAGGCATCTGGTGGACGCAGAGGAGGAATTCACGTTGTTTATTTTAGCTGAGTAAGTTTCTGATCACTTTTTGTTTTAGTTATTTTAAGTTATATGAATGATATTTTAATTAACTTAAAGACAGTTCATTATTACTTTAATTATCATTAAGGGGGGCTACTTATATTTTTTAATCATAGCATATGTACTGTATAAATATGGTATAGGGAATATGGTATATTGGTTGACACCTAACCTTTGCAAATGTCACCTAACCCTGGAAATGCAAAACAAATGCTGCATCAAACAAAATAAAGACCTGTATAATCAGTGTGTATAAAAAAACAGTAATATAAGCACCATGTAGGTATCTATTCCATGTTTATAATGCATGGTTATAAATAGCAGATTACTATACCAGTCAAAGAATTAAGGGTTACTTAACAATGTAAAAGGGAACTGAGAGTTCACAAGTGCTGTCTTTGCACAAGAATTTGAAGCTGGTGCGGAAGGGTTGTCTCAGGAACTGATCTAGATTTCTGTGGGTAGTTCTTTCCATCATGAATGAAGACATTGCTGTAGAAGTGAGGTTGCAGAAAGGTTGAGAGGAGACATATAAGAGACTGAGATAGCAAAATGTTTGAGAGAGTGGAAAGAGAAAACTGTGGGTGCGTACAGCAATAGGAAGCCGATGGGGGGAAGATGGTAGTTGTTTGCGAAGAGTGATTAAGAGATAATATATGGTGAGCAGGTAAATGACAGAGATGATTCCAGCTCTAGGTGAGCTGGAATGGATGGATGCTAGAAATTCTGGGCAAGAAGAAGTTTTAGTAGTCAAGGGGGAGATTACCAGGGTTAAAAGTTGTGTAGAACAGCTGGAAAGGAAGGTGCAGGTGGCATGAGTGTTACCTTCTTTAAATAATTGATCTTTCATGTGTTTTGGCATGCTGTCTGTCTCAGAAGTTGAATTGTGAGGATCAATCAGGTGAAGGTTGTAAGAACCTTCAAGTGAAGTTGCTGTCTTAGAATCTGTGCACAAATTTTGTCATGGAACAAAATAGCTAATCCTTCCACTCCAAAAAAATGAGATTGCTTCCTGTGGTGATATCTGGGTCCTCCTAAAGGAGGTGTTAGATTAATGAGGCCTTAGAAAGAACTTGAGGAAATGAGAGCTTGGTTTTGTATTCTTGATTCCCTAACTGCTGAGAGCCTGTGAACTGAACTTAAACCTGAGTAGAGGAAAAGTACTTTCTGGTGTCATTTAAGATGAAATATTTCAGAATGAGTTATTTATTTGACCAGATTTTGTTTTGGCCTGTACAATATCAACAAAAAAGAAGAAAAACACCAAGGGAGTAAAATGTATTATGACAATCTCTCACATTGTGAGAGAGTGGAGTCATTTGCTAATACTCAATTCTATAAAAAACATGTTTTTTAGGAATTTGTAGTCTAGATGTTATTAAATCAATACTGTAAGTGATTCTATACTTCATGATAAAAGTTACTTATTATTTAAAATTCTTCCATCAGCATCAGTTCTCTTGTATTTATGAAATGTGGTTGAGAAAAGTGTTTTTAATAGGAGAAGCCTCAGTGAATTGCATTTATCTTTAAAATATCAAAGAATTCTTTTTTTTATTTAGCTCAGTATTCACTAAACGTATAACCGGTATCAAACTCATCAGCTGGGAAATACTGTATGTCAGGGTTTAAGGAGAATATCTGTTTTACTAAATACCCCCAAAAGCCAGAATGCTAGCACCAGACTCGTTGACTATAAATATTGTTCTCTGGATAATTTTGTCTTTTCTTTTATAGTTCTTGGTTCAGTCCTGGAGCTAGGAGGGAGCACAGTCAGGTAAGGAACTATGTTAATGTAGATTCTGTCTAAATGAATGTTTGCCAGTGTACTTCCATATTTTTGCAACTATTTTCACAAAATTGCATAACAAATAACATTGCTGCAGTGGTTTTGGGTAGTGCCCTGAACTGTACTTTTCCTTGAATGCACTCTCCTTTAGGTGCAATTCTGAGTTGTGGAGAAGAGAACATGCTAGTTATAGATATTGTTCTCTTTGAGCCTTCCTCAGATCAGTTTTGGCCCCTTCTGTTCAGTCCACATTTTGGTCAATCCTTAGGGCCTTGTTACTAACATGCAATACTTTCTTGAAATAGTGTATGTATGAAGTAATTATAAATGACATTTGGAAGTCCAAATATGAAGTGTCACCCATGTTGACAATAGTCCGACAATAGTCCTGTAGTAGACAGAAGATAGAATGCATTGATATTTCCATCTTTGAAGACCAATTTAGTTAAACTAAATTCTTGTTGTTTATACATCAGATAAGATGTCTCCATGTTGAATTATAATGTGACATTTTTGTATATTTAGGAAATTGTTACTTTGTTATAATTTCATGGTGAATAAGATTAACTCTAAAGTGTTGTTATCAAATAAAAAGTATTTCACCAAATACCTTGAATTAGATTATTTTATTTGCTTGATATCTGTGGGAGCTTCGTCTGGATTTCACAGTATGGTACAAAATACCTAAAATACCTACCTTGAAAGCACCTAAATCAACCTAAAAGCGGTTAAGGGCTCGCTATGATGCTTTCCAAAGACATTAAAACCCTGCATATGGGGACCTAAGACCTGCAAACTGAAAGTTTTGAATTACTTGTAGATTCTTTAAAACAAATCTGTAATTTTCTTGTAAATGAAAACCAATTTTTGCATGCCTTTGCTGAACGTTAAAACAAAAACGTATTGATTTCTATTATGTTACCTTTATAATGTAATGTAATAAGTAAGGCATGCTATAGAATGACAGATCACTAAATAAGGTAGTAAACCATTGTCCTCTTAATGTTAAAAGTTTGTTCTTTTATTTATCTTGTTTCACTGTCCAAAACATAAGCTCTTTGCAATTTCTAAAATGTGTCTAATAATAGCTGTGATGCGTTAAGAATTGCAAATAATTAAAGTGCTACTATTCAATTACTCTTCCCTCCATTCTTTCAAAGCACAAGTTTTGTATCATACAGTTATTATATAGTCAACTAATGCATTCAGAATTGCAGTTTGCAAAAATTGATGTTGATTCTCGTTTGTTGTTCTTTACCTTTAAATTCCATATTGATTACAAACCTAGAAATATTGCCTGTGAAACTTTCCAGAAGCAGAAGTATCACTGCATTAGAAAAAAAAACACCTACTGGAAAATTAGTGCTGTCACTGTGGTTGGAGTCCTATATGGCCAAGATAGCGCACCATGGCCACACAGTCTTTCTCAAAGGGCATTTTATGACCAATGACATTCACCACCTGTTCTGGCCTTAGGTGACATTTTGCCCCAGTGCTATTTTTCATTTGACTGGCCTGAGTTTTAATATTTGTGCCCATTTTAAGATCATATGGGTGTGGATTCATTAATATCATGTGACTAGGCATCTGGTCCTACACTGATACCCCTGCCACTGATTTGTTGTTAATATCTGTGCTCTTTCACGTTATAAATTTAATTGGTCTAAGTCAGTACAATTGCCTGCAAATTTTGTAATGAAAAAGCTGGCTTGCTACCAGTTATGATAGTCAAAATCTCCACATACATTGGTGCCAAAATTTACTGTTACATGAGATCATCATTTGATATACAGTAATATCTCTAACAGATTTTTGCTGATTTGAGCTGATGGACATACTTCCCCTCTTCTCTTTATGCTTCCATAATACAAATGCATGTTTTTTTTTACTTTTTTTAGTTTTGTTTATGTACATTGCTTACTAATATTTCTAAATATGGAAATTGAAGGCGCCACATATTAAGTAATCTACACTGCAGTGAAAGAGATCATCTACTACCTTTGCCACACTTTAAATTGTATTTATACTCATTATATTGGGGATCAGTGCCTTTTGGTTTAAGGGTTACACTCCTGTATGTTGGCTTCAATTTAAATAAAATCTGTTTTTCTCATTGTAGACTTAAATATTTAATTTATTAAAGTGTTCCCAAGACACTGTAGGCTGTTGTTTGGACAGTTGTGTTTAATAGAAAGATTCAGAAAATCTATCTATGCTCCCGGTGTCTGCAGCATGAGTTTTATTTTTAAGTTGTGGTCAGATCAACAAACCAGTTCTGTTTCTGTTTCTGTTTCTGCCAAGAATGGAATAATCATTGATTTTCCAGCCTCCATAATAATAAAAATGCCTTGCAAGTAATTTCCTTTTCTCTTAACCACTTTGTATATAGGAATCCACATTCTAGCAAATGTTTTTGAAGAGGATGATCTTTGTTCATTGCAGTGATTGCTGTCTCAATATAAGCTTTGTTTATGATATACCCTGGAGGATAGGTTGTCTACATACCCAGTGCATTATCTACTGCATTTCTGAAGCAAAATAAAAAGATGGGCTTTCTCTGTGTTTTTCTTTTAGAAGTTTCATAAAAGCCTTTATCAACTTGAATGGTCTCTTTTCATTTGAACCTAATTATTTGAATAGTGTTTTGAATGTTACAGGTGAAGACATGTATATTTGGGATTGTATACATTCATTTTCCAAAAATCCTGATCGTGAACCTCTAAACATTTCTTGACCCCTCTTAGATGCAATCATAAGAGGATCAGCCTTAGTGCCTTGTTTCAGGAGTGTGACATATGGTGAAGTTTTAGAAATGTTTTTCTCCTTTTAGAAATACCATATTCCAAGCAAGGATGTTCCTTGCTTTTACCTAGAACATTTTTGTTGAATGATAATTCGATTCTTGGCTTCTAGAAGGAACAGAATCAGAACTGGTCCGTTGGTCTAACCACAGCTAAAAGGGTACTGACTCTGCAGGCACTAGGAGCATCCCTCTTTTGGCATTATTGCATCCTGATCTATCTTAACATTTTTTAATTGAACTCTACTTGAATTCTTCTCCGTAGGGCTTGGAGTACATAGCACTTTGATCTCACATGTCTGATCTCAGGGAGAGCTGGTATTCAAATTTTGTATTATTCTGCTTTTTGACAAATTTAAATTAAAAAATATCTTAAAAAACACGTCAGTTTGAGACAATAAAAGTGTTCTTGTAGAAGATGCAGATCACAGTCTCTTCTCAAAAACATAAAATAGCTTGGCCAAAATGTAAACAGAAAGTCCTTGCAGATGTTTGAACAACAAATGATTTTTTTCCCCAAAGGCGGAAAGTACAGAGAACAAAAGGAGAGTCTACAAAAACCGGTTGTTCAGACCAGCTGTCTGACTTGTTGGAAGGTTCTTCATTGTTTGGGAATGTTTCAGGTCTTCAGGGACTAGAAACATTTGCATGATTGAAGGAAACTTAAATGCACCAATGCAATAAGACATAGTGCTGTCTAAAATTATGCCTGGTGGTTTATGGCTAATAAAATGTATCCCTGCAATTTAGTATGACAACAGTCCAAAGTGTGTACCTAACTCACCCACAGAATTAAACAAAAATGAAACAGATTGTTGGTGTGGTCATTGCAACCACCTGGCCTGAATTCAGTTCTTTTATTAGAGAAATGGAATCTTGGCTGTAAGCTTTATGTTCTCAAAATCATTTTGAATTGAAGAATGCTAAATGTTTATAGGATAGGCACCAATGTATTTTAGAGCATCTAGCAACTCTTGTGATGTAGAGCTTTAATATTTCCTGCTCCTTCTATAGATTATTTTTGGTAACTGTTTTTATTGTTACACAGATAAAGGGGTGAAATACCGTGTATATCAAAAACTGCCTATGCTTTCACTTACACTAGGATTTTTGTTTAATGTTATGCTTGACAGACCTCATATAAACAACTTCAACCTGAAACCTTTTGGAAACATGCACTTTTCTTTGACCACTTGAGCCACTTGTCTCCTTTCTCCTCTGTACAAAAGTTGAAAAACTTTTTCAAAAAAGTTTTAAATATTTATCAACTTAAGGTAATTTAAATATATAACTAAAATGACCTTTCTATTTGTTGAGGTGATGATGATTATGAATGCTCACTTCTTTCACTCAGTGTTCAAATACTCACCATGCTCACTTTTAAAGGAAAGTTTCTTTGTCCCTTGATGATGTAATGATTTTGGATGAATTTTCTGTCCACCACTAAATGTGTGAAAACAAGCATTGTGTAAAAGCAAACTATAAATGTGGCAAAATAAATAAAAAGAACTACATATTTTGTTATTGGTTTTGAGGAATGTGTCTAAATATCATGCACTGCTAAAAGGTGGTATAAACTAGACATTCAGAATTAGTTTTCTGCATGATTTAAATAAAAACACAAAGAATTTATATTACTGTATAAGAATGGTGAACCATTCTGAAACAATGGCTTTTCACAGGAGATTTTAATATAAAGTAAAAGCCAGCTCTCCTTCTTTCTAGATTGGATAAAATAATAATACTGGATAGCTTACTCCTTAAAGAAAAATAGAAAATGCTACTAAGAAGAACCCAATTCATTGACCATATATAATCTAATGCTGAAGATGTCATTAATTTCTTTAAGCCAGTTTTTCATCTGGTCTTTCTACAAATTAAAACAAAAATAGTTTTAAGAGTTAGGAGGCATTTAAATGTATTCTTAGTAAAAAAAAAGATTTTTTTTGCACTCTCTAATACAGTTGGATTTTTGTTACATTCTTTGCTTTTGAATATATTATTTTGGTAGTACAGTGTTTCCTCGAAATGCTTAAGTGTAATTTGTTGCATACTTTTGACATGTAAAACGGAGCACTGAGAGTAAGAGAATGCTGTTATCCATGCAGTTATTGAAACTAAAGCATGGCACATCAAAAGACAAATTGTGAATCAAGTCCAGTCTCTTTAATACACATGAAATTACATGATAGAAGCGTGTTTTAATAACTGCAGAAATCATGGTTGGTACCTACTAATTCCCTTTGTATCAGGCACTAATACTTAAAAATACGCCTGCAAAGTTGGTACATCATTTCCTGAAGCCTTGAAGCTGAACCAGTCATGTCTTTACACTGCGATGACTTTGTTTCTCTGCAGCTTGTGTGGGATGCACGAACAGACAGAGGGCACAGGAAAAACTGCTCATTAAAAACTGCCAGCAGGTAAATACCATCTTGCTATTCTACCTCCGCCCTCTGTGAATACTGTATCGTCCTTTTCTTGTGTATCTTTATTAAGTATTTATTATTGATGTTGTATTAGGAATGGAGCTCTTTTTTTTACAAGCTGCTGTATAACCTTGTGCTGTATTGAACTTGGGTGTTGCTGTTTATGGTTACTTTTTTTTTCTTGCTCTCATGGTTGCAACTATTTCTTGTGGTTCTTTGCCTGTCAAGAACACATTAGAAAATACAAGGTTTTTACATCCATCATGAGAATTAATATTAAAAACATGTACATCTCATGCTGTAAATTGAAAGTTATCTTTTTCTGCCTGCAAGTTTTAAACAAATACATTATACATTATTTAATAAAACAACTACCTATAGCTTTTTGGAACTGTAAAGAACATTGGATTCTAATTTTAAAGGCCTGGAGTTTGTTACTTTAATATTTAAAGGTAATTCTGGTATTAATATATTGATATCTAATTTTGGACTGTGAAGGAGCAGTGCTACAGCAGCTTTGCTTTCATAAAATGTATTGAACTATATTTGAATAGCTTTTAAATTTGTTGTTAACAGAACAAATTGAATTATCATAAGCAACAAGTAAGGTACTACACAAAACAACAGTGAACAAAGTTTGGGGCACTGTACTAAGTAGGCTATTTTGTACAAAAAGCTATGAATCTAGTATATTATATATTAATAATTTAACGTATACATATTATTTTGGCAGTTGTTGATTATTTTATTATTATTATAATGTTATAATCAGATACAAATGCATTATTTATATCCTGAAATATCCTAAAAATTAATTAATATCCTAATAATTCCTATTAAAATAGTTCCATAATGCAATTTACACTACACTACATTTTTATTTTTCAATTTTTAAAGTAAAATCTAAATATACTTCTAAACTTTGATCTCTGCAAAAACTGAACATTACTTCTGTTCTTTGATGGTTTTTTGACTATCATTGCTTAGTGTTTTTTTACCCACATGTGTGTTCATGTGTATTTCTTTGTTAAAATAATAAATAACTGAATAATAATGTATGAAACAAAGGAATAGACAATAATATTTTAATCTGTATGGAAAAGGTAACTGGGAGTTGTGGTACTGTTGTTATATGTAAGGCAGGAGTTTATTTTTTCTGCTAGCCTATGAGAGAAAGTGCAAGAGCAATTTACATCTGAATAGCTCTTTGGTGTTCATCTACTGATACAAATCACTGTGTTTTATTACACAGAAGTGACAAATGGAATTACAGCTCTGTTTTATTTGATCTTCAAAAGAGACAAAGATGTACACAGATTTCAGATAGCTTTCCTTTTCCCCAAGTGTCTGTAGCTGTTTGAAAAGCATCCCTTGTTTATCTTGAATAAAGAGAACTTTTGCTTCCAGTGTCACGTCAGCCACAACACATTTAGCACAATCTTTGTGTCTTAAAGGTGGAACTACATAATAACATGTAAAATTAGAATATGGGGCTTCCAAGTTTACATTTATTATTCACTTTAGGCAAATATAGCTGTTGGTTGTTTTTTATCTGCTGCAAGGGAAACACTCATTGTGATTGAATTAAAAATAGAACTGTGGATAACACATTCTATTGGTGTAAATCACTTGTGGCCATTGACAGCAAATGCTCAGTCTTAAAATATCCTTTGAAATCAAAGAAATGTAAATGTGAAATACTGTTCCTGAATTGTATAACATTATTTAGTTTTCCATTTTTTTATTTTCCTTTCTTTAGTTGTTTAGGGTCTTTATTCTATGATAATATGTGTGAACAAATATTCTGTATACTTGTACAGTACCCAGTTAATCATCTATGTCATATCCAGATCTAGAAATTTCTGTTGGACATTTTATTTAGAGGCCACAGAATATCAGTTTCAAATTTCTCCTCTTCATATTCCTTTTTCATTATTTTCACCAGTGTCCTTAATATTAGTTCATATTATTCTCACAGATTACTGTATTTGGCATAACATCTACTAGGAGGCACGTACTGTACATTAGCATGTACTTCAGGATATGCCATTGAAGAACGCGAATAAAATACATTCAGTGTCTGTTATTTAAAGACATTTTAAATACAAGGATTTCTTACATTTGTAAAATCTTGTCAGATCAAATGTTTTATTCATTCAGGGCAATCCAACATTATAAGCTATAATATGGCATAAAGTAGTACATCTTAGTTGTAATTCTAAAGAAATAAGTTGTTTATTCTGTACTTGATAGAATATTTTTCACTTTGTTTACTGCATATTCTGTTTGTGTTTCCCAATGGAAAACTGACTGTTTTTTTTTTTTTTTAATAAAAATGCACAAAATAGGATCATTCATGAGATACATTGCCATGTTTTCAGAAGGTGTGGGCAGACTGGTCTGTTCTTGTGAGACAGATTCCCTTCAATATACCAATATCTGTTGATTGTCTGGAGAAAATAAGAGCGCATTTCCATCATTGTTGTGTATTTACCATGACAACACACCCTACAAAAGGATTTTATTAGTGCCTTTTTTATTTACATGACCTTCTGTAGTAGGCTAACAAAATGAAAATAAACATCAAAATGTAAAGAACTAAAATATAGCATGAATCTTGAAAAAAAACAATTTAGCTGGCTTTTGACTTTGGGTGTAAAATGAAACAGAAGAAACTGTTTAAATTATTTTTGTTTTTGAGAATTGCAGTGCAGTAAGTGAAAAGACATTCAAAATATGTATTGAGGTATAAGGAAGATAAGGACTTCAAGGGTCACAATCTGTGCTCTTGGTCTCATGATAAAGATTAATGAAACTCTGTGACAGAGTGGCAAAACGTAACATTCCTGAAACTGGATTTCTGTACTGGCAGTCTTTGCCTGCCTTCAAGAAAAGTGTCAAGCTAAAAAAGTAAGTAACTTATTCAAGACTGCTGTGATCTAAGTCATTAAAGACTGATGCACTTTCCAAAGGTAATAATCTGAGTTGCTATTGTGTGAATACACATTACACCTTTTGCTACTGTTTACCTAGAAAATCTAAAAAAACTTGCAGACTTGATAGTAAATAACACTACATTTGTCTTTTCCTAAGTGTATTTTGATAAGGATTTTTTTTTTATTCATTGTAAGTGCGGTATGAGGATTACATTTTTCAGATAACTTTGTGAAAATCTCCACGCTCTCATTAATATCACTACAGGACAACCCCCTGCAGTGCTGAGCTGCAAGGGAGAGGTTGTTTCTCATACCCTGGTCATATAAATTGGATCTAAGGCCATAACAGATGAAGTCACAAACTAAATGCGTGTTTATGATCATTCTGCAGTCACTTAGCTTCACTCGGTTTTTCCTTGTTGTGCATTTCCAGTTTCCCCTTTGGGTTTTAATAGGTTCTGACAGCAGGGTTTTTTTGGCTGGCCAGTATGTGATCACACTAGTCTGGCTTTCCTCGGCTCTTTTGCTCATCGTAACTTTCTGCTGTTTTGACACTCGCAGGGCTCCTGCACTGTTGTACAGCTGATGCCCTGTCCAGGCCTATATGTTTCTCCTTGACAATGAGTGTTCTTGCCAAACGCCAGGAACCATAGTCACATCTGTTTGTCTCCTCAGCTCATCTGAATCTGCTAGGGAAGAGCTTATGACCAGAGGGTGGCTGTGAGTAGGCCTGATACACTGACAGGCCTCGGTATGCACAACCATTCAGACTGGGGAGCAAGTACCTGTTGTCGTTCTTTCAACATTATCCCAATTGACATTAGTAGCTTCAGTCCCTGTCACCACTGCATCAAAAGCCAAGTTTTCAGGCAATACAGTCTTAGCTTTTTTTTTCTAAATACCAGGTCTTTCAAGAGAGATATCTACAAACTATTTATATATACTGGCTTGTAGCAAGATTGTAGCAAACTGAAAGGATTGCAAAAAAAAAAAATGCATTCCTGCCAGTGGTGATTCTTTGTTACTGTATATAAATTGGAAGAAACATATTGCTGACCTAATGGCTAATTAAGGGTCAGGCTTGCCCATACTTTTGTGTTGTTTGACTGCATGTCTAAATATTTCTTGAAATATTTCGGCTTGCCTTTAGTCTGCACCACAATGTGCGTATAGAATGACTTGATGTTTGTTGAACGTGTGCTTGGCTGATTTTATTTTATTTCTGGTAGATGCCAAGGTGTTTAACCTTACCTTCAGGGTTGGTTTCAGCCCCAGTTGTAAATGAGAGACAGGGGCTTCTTATGTGCTGAGCACAACTGCATTGCTCTCCTGCCCTCTCACTCCCCAGTGTAGAGCACTGCATACTTAGAGTGATGGAACTGGAATTACATTGTTTCACCAGGGACAGCTGGAGTGGATCCTTAAAGGTTAGATTGTTTGGCTTTAAAAAAGGACAGTGTTTTGTAGAAACCACATTTGTGCACTTCACAAAATACTCTGATGTCCCTGAGCACCTCTGTCATTGTTAGGGTTAGCATAGACCCATTGGTAATGCAGAGTACATCACATGATATGGCCATATTTGAACATTTGTGCTGGTAATTTTTTCCATTGTGTCCATGTTTTATACTTTGGTTCAGATTTCAATTACCAATTAAATCTGTATTTAAAATATTTTATCTCTTTATGTTGTGAAACATACTTACTTACACAACAAAAGAGTTCCTGCCACTCGACAGCACATACTTTTCCATTTATTCTGTTTCATGTGCCACTTTACTTATTAAATAGCAGAATCAGAATGTGTATTTTGGTTCATTTTCTTCAGAATAATTCATTCAAGAACCGAAAATGTGTCATAATTATCGGTATCCTCTGATGGAGAATGCAGTGTAATTTACATTTACACAACTTTCTCTGAACAGTTAATTTAAAATCTAAACTTTGCATATTTGTATTTGAAATCATTGTAATTTCTTGGTAGTTGTATATGACAAAACATCATGCCATGTAGCCAGTCTCAAGAATCAGTCCTCTTAGTATAGATGTATCAGTCTTCTATGCCACAGTATTTTCCTTTAGTACAAAACGGAAGAGATTGCTGACACTTTGTGATACCACACCATCATAATTAAGTACTGTACCTTAACTAGGTGGAAAATGTACATTAGTGTATCCAAGCATGTTGATCATTTTCATGCAGACAGTAAGCTACTGTACAGTCATTCTAATGATGTACTCAGTAACAGCCATTTGATCTTCATTACTCAGATGGGACATGATTATAACTTACGCTGTCCTTGTATTAATTATATAATAGCTCTTTATGTAGATTTTAGTGGATAGTAATTTTGCTCAATGAATCAACAATTCATCTTACAATTTAAAATCTAAAAGTGGTGTGTACAGTATGTGCCCATGGGAATCTTTTGCATTTATACTGTCATTATATTTACCTAGAGTATACAGTTGTATGCAAAAGTATGGGCACCCCTGGCCAAATTACTGTACATGTTTTGTTGATTTTCTAAGTGAAAAGACGTTAACACAACCTTTGCAGCAAACGAACAACTTATTTTTTAAATCTCTTAAATTCAGCAAATAAATAGTAACTGTGCATTACAATTTTCAGAAATATGTCAAGTTTAAACCTTAATATTATGTTTAATACATTTTATCATAATTGATTAAAAACAGGATTATAAAACAGCACTTCCGTATTTTGATCTGCAATCTGCTGATCATAGACCTAGCACAAAAAAAAGCTTTCAATAATGTAGCATAATTATTAAATAACTATTTATTTTATTTCATGTTTCAACATATCTGCAAAATAACACTTCTGTTTTCTTCACTTTTTTTGTTTTAGATTGCTTCAGTAGTTCACAACACTTTCCCCTTTGACAACAGACAAATCACAATGCTTGATTCAAAGTAAATATAATGTGTTACATTTTATCAAATTTTATTAAAGCATTATTATTATCATTATTTTATTTTATATAAATTCTCATTCAGAATTCTGGTATCAATATGAGAATGGGAAAAGGGTCAGATAACTTCTCAGTGATTTAATAGGGGTACAGTATATCTCAGTATGTTGTCATTCTGTACAGTATGCCCCATTTCAGTGCATCATTATTCATCCAGTGTTCCACCTCTACAATAATTTTATACTTATCCTTAAAGCTTATGTCTTTTCACCAGCTCTTGGATTTAAACAATACACCTTAGTTCTTCTACAATTTCATGTAACTGGCCCCTGGAAACAACATGGAAAAACAATGAACATTTCTTATGCATCATTTGTTGCTGTCATAAAAAGTAACTTCCACAAACACACAAAGCAATATACTTGAAATAGAGATGTCAGAACATGACAGCAAATATATATTTCCAATGTGTAGGTCCCCAGTGTTTTACCTGTCTATCTGTCTAGTCCTGTGGTTGTCTTTCTAAATATGTCTGAAGCCTTTGATTTCTGGGTGTTGGGGTGGGTTTATCTGGCTCTGATAAAATTGCAATATTTGTAGAATCAGATGTTACTCTTTTTTTTCATAAATCATCTAGACACCCTGAAATCACAAAGAGAAAGAGTAAAAAGAACTTCAACCTTTTTAAGTTTAGTGGCCGTGAATGATTCCAGTATAGGTAATAACATCACAGTGCTTATACAACCAAGCATTGTAGACTTTTGCTAAATCATGATGCAAGAAGTTGCATATGTGCATGGAAATATAGTAATTTGACTTAAATACAATGTAAAAAAGGACATTCCCTAAAAATACTGTTTCTCTGTATATGACGGCTAACTTTCACAAACCTATAGTTTTTAGGAGGATGTTTCCTTCAACTCACCAGAATTAAAAATCATGCTATATGCTCTGGCACGCCACTGGAGAGACCTGTAAAAGCCTGCAAAAGACAGAACAAAAAGTGACCCAGATGTCAAACAGAACAGAATTTTACATCAAGAAAAATGTACTTTTAAAATCACAGGGAGTGTTTCTTCAAAGTCACGAGTTCCTAATTATTTCAAACCATGTTATCTGATCATAGCTATATTTGGCATTTTAAATGTTCACATTTTTAACTGAATCTTTTTTCCAAGTTTTTGAAAAAAATGCTTTCTTCTGTGTACACCTTTATTAAGCTTTCTACACCATTTCTCTTTTCTGCTGCTGTCCACCTTGAGGACATTTTTGGCCTTCAAGTATGTCTGCCTATGTTGGTTTTTTCTTATCTAAAAAATGTTACAAAGGCCTTTTTCCCCAAGCTCAGACCATATTTTTTATAGTATTTGATGCCGAAGTCTTTGCTTTATGAAGAAGAGAAAAAAATCTCACGCTCACCTTGGCTACTGATCAAAGTGTTGCTCTTTGCAAAGACGAATGGTTCATTTATGCTGATGGAACAGGGCTGCCTTTCAGACTGTCATTGATTTTAAATTAAAAAGTAACTGCCGTGTGCTACATGGAGGGTGACAACAATAACAAAGTAGTCCTTACTTAGTGCTATTTGTTGCCTCTCCCTCTTTCCATGCTGTGGACTTGGGGGGTGGGGGAGGCCTGAGTACCTTAATCTTACCGATCAATAGTCCAGATATCTCAATGCAACATAACAGGTAATCAATTCTTTGTAAAATTACTCAAGCAAAACCTGCAGCTAGTCCTACACCATAGGTCTCCAGGTTCAATGGGATGACTTTATTTTTTTCCATTTTTTTTTTAATTTTGTTTTCTTTGCTTTAAAGAGACCAGTAAAACAAGTGCCATTTCATTTTTTTTTTTACTGGAGACAGTGCTGTATTGCGTGGTCCTTGACTTAATGAAATGGGTATTAAAGGCTGATGGAGACCTGCCAGGGTCTGCATAGACCCAGATTATGAATCGGAAAAGCCAATTGCAAGGGGCATTCTAAATAACTTCCAGGATGGAAAAAAAAGTGGCTTACACAGTAGTATTTTTAGAGATGCTACATCTTTACCTTTTGTGATCCATCCACAAAAATGTACCAATTGCCATTGCAGATTTGTTTTAAACATGATCAATATAGTTCATTTTAGCTATGTTTGCTCTTAGCTTACTAAAGTGTTTTAAATAATGTAATTGTCTTGATGTACTGTAAACTATAGGTAGCAATTCACATCAATGTTATATTTAAACATTTTTTTGACAGCACAGAAATGTTTCCTCAATTCTTCCTTTCATTCAATATGTTTTGCCTTTGAAGACAGAATAAATGTTTCAATTTTCTGGTTAAAACAAAATACCTGAAGTGTAATGATACATTCTGTATGTACACAGTTGAAACAAACTTGCTGTATTAAATTAACAAAGACAGGGCACACACATTTGTTTTGTCCTGCTAAAGCCTAATTATAGTCCTTATGTCATGAAATAAAGGGTATTCTTCCCTAGTAGTTCAGGCAGAGTTATATAAAATTGTGTTTTTGTAGCTTCAAGCCTCACTTATACATCCCCTTTAAGTGATTTTTCACAATGTTTGTCTCAGCAAGCTGGCTGAGATGCTCCTGTAGTTGAAGGTGCTGGTGACAGTGAAGCATTAGTAACCTATTGATATTTCACCGTCTGTATTGTCGACTCTTTAGATAATTAATCTTAACTGTTTCCCTGTCAAAAGTGACACACTCTTTGATTTTTTATGAGGCAAGGGAGATTGCCAGATTTGAAAATTAAAAAGCATTCCTTTTATATTATTCATTCAGGTAACAATTTATGATGCCAGGGTTTGGGCGCTGAACACTTGTCAGCAAACATAATTATGTTTTGATATAAACAAGATTGGTGGCTTTATTATGCAGCTCTGTCTTCATTGACTGTGTAGTGATTTAAGCTCAGATTGTGCAAGCTTCTGTGTTTATGTGCTGTCTTTTTTTCTCTCTGCTCATCGTTTCTTTTGCAAATTAATTTGCAGACAAACAAGCGTGCACTTAGGCTCGCTGTGCACAGGTGACATCAAGCGTAGAAGAAAGGCCGCACCTATGGGGGGACCAACAACAACAGGTAAATTTATAACCAGTATCTACCTTCAATTTTTCCCCTTCTCTGACAGGCAGATAGTTTTTGAGTTTCTATTAGGCATATTGCATGGATGACAGCGTTCAAAGATTGGTTACATTTTGTTCCGACGGCATTAGTGCTCTTAATATGGCCCATCAGCTACTGTCATCCTTCTAGTGTGATCTATGATTCCCTCATCACTCTTCTATAAATCACTTACTAAAAGGGTTTTTCCTTTTTTTATTCCTCTTGTTAAATTCATGCAGCTCTCATGCAGCTCAAAATTGGTCATTGATAACCACCTCCTTCCTCTACACAAAAAGAAAATGGAAAATGCCCCCTCCTCTTGAAAAGGGGAATTCTTTGGAGCAGCAGGTTGAAATAAAATAGCTAGCAAAGCTAAGCTTTATATCTTTCCGAGTTTTTTTATTCTTAGATGCAAACAAATTAAAGCTTTAAAGATACAGTACATACAAATACTTTAGTGCACACATAATTCTTTAAACATGAATGTGGCAACACAGACATGTTTACTCCTTATTTAGGTCCTGTAATTCACTGAGGTCTGTTGCTTTTGATGGTAATTTCCAGCTTACCCTAGAAGCACAAAAATGTTATGTGTTGACTGAAAACATATAGCACGTTAATGACTTAATTGTTCACTTATGCTACTTTTGTTATATGAAATATCTTATCATCTATCTCCTTTTCACTACACTAGGCCTTACATTTTAATTACGAACATCACCAATTTCATGTCACCTCCAGTATGCCCACATTTTCCTGATGGAGATGCGCAACATGGGAGAGCGAGTATATTTCCTAATTAAATCATCTTGGTAGTTTTTTTTTTGTTTATAAAGGGACAGAGATCCTTGCGACTTCTAAGGATGTTTGTTAGAATTGTTGCACATACATTTGGACAAAAGTCCATGCTGTTATGAAGTTCATAACCCTACTGAGTAAATAATGGTGCTATGAATAAATAATATTTTTGTTTGTGTTTTAAGTTGTTTGTCTCTTTTTCTCCTCTCAAGATAAGGTCAGCATGCAAAGTTATTTGCACAAGAAAAATATCTTAATGGTACTACATATCTGTAGACAAGTAACTAAACAGCTATCATGAGTATTATGTTTTTTAATTTAATTTCTAGCATTTTAACTCTTAATCTAACACTCTTTGCTTCTCAAGGACACATGAATAAGTTCCAATTTTACTTGGAAATCAACAGCATGCAGAATATGTAGAAAGCTTGTCATCTGATAAATTAAATAACTGTGTTGTTCTGTAAATTGAACAAGTTTAAATCTAAATGAAAATAATACAGTATATGTGATTCATATAAAATCACTTACATTTCTATTAATAATTTGAATATGAAGGAGCTTGATGTTTCTTTGTAGTGCTAGAACATAACTTTAACACTCAGTCATTGCCTGAGGCAGCCTAGGTATGTTATCAGTTAAATATGTATTAATTGTGACAAGAACATACTATTTATTTTCAGCTCTGCTGAGATTTTCCTGCACTCTTAACCTTTGCATTTATAATTGAATAAAATAAACTGAATATTGATATAGCTAGATATTGATTTTAAAATGTACAAAGTCACTGAAGAAAAATGTCTAGACATTGCCTTCAGAATTCTTAGAACAGAACTATAATTTAAACTTTGGAGTACATTATTCTGCTCTTATTTTTACAGCAGTAGCTGATGCTGCATTTGAAGTGAAATATAGTGAATTTTTAATAATTATACATATTCCCTGAATAAAAAGTCACAGACTGCCAGAATACAGTGAAACACTGAAACACTGTGTAGTTTCTTTTTTTCCCTGTGGTGTTGGTATAAAGCCAAATATGATGAACAAGGAATTGTGTGTACTGTATATATGAATGTGCACATCATTTTTAAGCAATTATTTTTTCTTAAATGTTTATCAATCAATAAAAACAAATGTATATGCCACAGGTAAGCATACCATTTACAGTATATTGGAATTACACAAGTAAAATGTCTTTCTTGGAAGCTTTTATAGCAGTATTTCTTCTGTAGCATGTTCATGTACCGTCATAGTCCATGTCTGCTGCAGAATTTTGGTAAAGACACATCAGAAAAATTAGTTATTTTAAATATATATTAGTGTGTTTGTGGATGGAAACAATATGTATTCTGTCTCTGTGCTCTTTCAGCCTACAGGCATGAGATGTTGCTACCTGCTATGCTCTAATAAGTTTGTAGCTTACATAGGAGGACTTGGGAGTGTTGGTGTTGCATGAACTCACCAGGTTGAATAGGATAGAAAATATTATTTAAAAAATGTATTATTATTCTTTAACTGGAGAATCAACTTTCCCTCATCCTCCATTTCCCATGGATCAAATCATTCCATGGTTCCAGGTATATTACAATGACTGCACACCTTACAACCAGACACCTGTCTCTTGCCAATAAGCATTTTGTTTCCAGTGTTTAAAGAGTCAAAATGACAAATAAGTGCAACATTTAAAAGACAGTTTAATTGTGTTGACATGCTAGAACGTTACTTAGTCATCAAGCATGTTACAAAGTTGAAAAAGTCACGTACAATCAAAGAGTCTTTATTTTTACTAACATTAAAATATATAATCAGAATTATAGGTTTTAGGTTTAGATGCAGTTAAAGAACTTGCAAAAGCTACTCTTTCAATGAAATTTTAAGTTACTGTGATTGATGGTATGTCTGTTGACATTAAATCGGTTTAAAAACAAAATAAAATGAAGTGGAGCATTTGCATTGAACCCTAAATGAACAGACAGTACTATTCATGCTGACTACTTGGATAATGTCAGGTACATTGAAGAAAATGGCATAAAGAAAAATATTTGACAAGTAGCTAAAGGTACCAAGGGTCTTTAAAGAGGAGGGATGACTGCACTGGTTTTGCAGACATGAGTCTGCTTAAATGAGTGGGGAAGTTAAAGGTTTTGTAAGTTAGGTCAAGGAAGAAAACCTTGATGTGCTGGTGACTCTGTTTCCTGTACCAGGACTCCATCATAGCCAAAACATTGACAGAAGAATTTTCTTTAGAGTTAGAATGAGAGATAAAGATCGTAACCTTTAAATCAAAGCCCTTGAAAATTTGCCTTTTCTCATTGTTGTACACGGATATGGGAGCAGAACATCAAAGCTTGCTTTTGCACATGAAATTACGCTGACATTCCCCACGGAGAAGTTATGTTACGTTTGTATTAACTGAGCAAGGAAATAATCTTCTTAACTTCAGAGGATCTTGCATACGCAGACCTGATCACTGATGTAGAATGGTACATTACGCTTGTCTAGCTGGTTGATATATTTTAACACAATTTCTCTGCTGTGAAAGTAGGAACTAGCAAAACGCACATTAGGAATGTTGCTCCTGACAGAAATAGGGCAAATCCAAATGTTAACATTTTAGTAATTTGTCAGCATTTGAAAAGTTTTGATGAGAAGACTTCTTTTTATTTCCCTTTGTATTGTATAGAAGATTTCATTTAGATCCATTATGCTTCTTTCAGTATTAGCCAAAAGCAAATAAAAAACATGAAGATAAATGCTTCAATAATGGCTCAAGAGAACCTTACAGCAAGTATGGTTTGCAATTATTTTTATAAAATGATGATATGGTTTTGAACTCATTGAAGTTAATAGCTCCAAACAAATATCTACTGTAGTCATCCCAAATTATGTGGTCTCCATTTAATTATGTTTTATTATTTTCAAGCTGGTAAAAGCTGCAGTCTACAAGTTGCTCTAATGTCCCTACTAAGGTAAAACAATTGTGCACTTTGAGACAAGCATGTATTTTTAAAGTTCTTGTGTCATTAGCTGGTATAAGCAACTGTTGATATAAAAAATGATTAGAAACATAGTGACTATATTGAACACCTGGATGAATGTTAATCAGTAATGATCCAAAGCATTGGTATCACCCAATACCAGCTGACTTGGAACAGTGAGATTAAAACAGAAATGAAGAAGCATCAGCTTCAACTGTAGGGTATACCAGACTAATTCCCTTCACTCCCCTCATTAATGTGAAACCCATTTTCCACACATCACTCGTGTTTCAGGCTTTTCTACTTGCTGTAATGTTAGTAAGGATTCCTACATAAAACTTACTTGGTTCCTCGCCTACAGTATATTACAAAATGTCCTTGTTGGATCCTCTGTATACACCATTGCCTGCAGACTGAACAGCAAAAATGTGTCTGTTTAGAAAACTAAAAATCGTCTTCAACCTAATCAGAGTAAGTATGTTGTATCATTTGCAAATGTCTGTATAGTATGGCAGCCGTTGTTATGTTTATGTCATGTTCTACAAGTTTAATGCTACTTCTTCTTGCTGCTAGTAATCTAGAAACTGTGCAATTAGACAGATCTTTTCTATTGAAAGAATGTCAACGTGTCTGCAAGTCTGGTTTACTCAAGTTGCCTTGGTAATAATAAAATAATAAATATAATGCAAAAGAACAAGTAAAGGTTTATTCCATGCTGTAAAGCGAAGAAAAGAAACAGTTTCTTCAAACCTGTAGCAGGCTCCACAGCCAAGACGTTGTTTCTTTTCTTCTCTTTTCAGCATGGAATAAACCTCTACTTGTTCCTTTGAAGCCTACACAGCTACCGACGTTCCGACGCAGCTACCTACTTGAACTAATAAATATAACAATCAGTTCACTTATGTTTGCTAAAATCTTGTTTTCATAAAATCCACCTTGTTTGCTCTTCTTAATGCATTTTATCACAGCATAATATTCATACACTTTGCTAACTCACTGTGCCAGTGAAAGCAACTCATAGGTTTTTCATATGAAGTGAAGAGACTGGGAAGTCATTGATAAACAAAGTGCTTCCTCATTAGTCTAAATGCTTTTTTAGAAAGCATTATTTGTTCTTTTTGCAATTATTGTGAGATAAATGTTGTACAGCTGGTCCAGAGTAATGTTGGCACATTGGTACACTGGTTTGGAAAGTTAGTA